CCAATTACCTCAACATTGATTTTGGCTACAATCATGATTATGGTTACCATAACCTTGGTTACGATCCCCATATCCTGTGCCATGACTTTGACCGTTATAACCATGGTTGTTATTGTTACCATAAATCCCTTGGATTCCATGGTTTCTATAACCACTATTTTGGTTATAACTATCATAATTCCCTTGGTTGTGATATTCCTATTCCAAACATTCCTTTGAACATCAAATCTCGCTCCAACATTATTATTAACAACATATATAATTCACACGTTCATTCTCATTTCCAACATATTCATCACAAGGAACAGTAGGGCAAATTGAAGCATCATGGTCATTCATTCCACATATATCACAAGACCAACATTCTCTAACCATGCAACAAGAAGAGGGAAGAGTGTTAGGGAAAGAAGGTGTATCTCTCCCCTTAATTTAGGAGGGAAGAGTCGGTGCTTGTGAGGTTGCACTCTCAAGCTTAACCTTGATAGAAACTACCTCCTTCACTAAGTTTGAAATTTGAGTTGACAAATTGTTGATAGCATTGAGTTGATCAACTGAGCATCCCGTAGTGCTACTCTTATTTATCGGCTCTTTCTCACAATCTTTCCATTCCATGTAGTGTCAAACTACATCCTCAATGATATCTACAACCTCCTCCTCGGTCTTGTTCATGATTGGGCCTCTGGCTCCGGCATCAAGACTTGACCTCCCTTGAGGACTCAACCAACATAAAATTTTTTGAATGATTAGGTAAGTGGGGATTCCACGGTGAGGACACTCGCGTTGATACCCTTTGTATCTCTCCCATGCTTCATAGAGTATTTTACTAGACCTTTGCTTGAAACCTTAAATCAAAGCTCTTGCCTTTGCCGTTTTCTTTTGAGGGAAGAAACGGGAAAGGAATTCTTTGGTGACTTCATCCCAAGTTCTCAAAGAATTAGGTTTCACTTCCTTGTTTAGCCACTCTTAAGCACTTCCAATTAGAAAGAAAGGAAATAGCTTGAGCCTTATGAATTCTTGAGCAACTCCGTTCACCTTAATTGTGTTGCAATATTTCTCGAACTCCTTAAGATGATTGAGGGGACTTTCATTTATTCCTCCACTATATTGCTGCCTTTCAATCAAAGTTAGCATTGCCGGCTTGATTTTAAAATCACTTTCCGGGATCAATAATGGAGCAATCCCACTCTCACACTTGTATGCACCCGGAGTGCCCAACTCCTTCAATATAACCCTTAGGACTTATCCCATGTTGACTTGTACACACAAAATCAAAGTAAAATATTAATAATACGGCTTCAAATGTAGCCCAAAGAGAAAAATATTTTTGTATTTTCGAAATTAAGTGAAATAGACTTTACAACAATAGCAAACAACTACGCCATTCCCCGACAACATCGTCATTTCAACGACCTAGTTCCACCCCTCGTCACCTATCTCTCTCACGCACGCCCCTCTCTCTCCCCTTCCTTGTCCATACGGTACGGACACCAGGCCCCCTAGTGGCGCACGTTGGTGGTGGTACGGTGGTGGTGGTGGTTCGTGGTTAGTTTGTTTCTCTCCTCTCCATAGAAGGTTGATTGAAGGGTTCAATCACGACTAACTAGCATTAGTGAAAGCTCAATTTTGTGCCCGTGAACCATGTAGAGGAATCACGTTTGGAGTTCTAGATCTCCTCATTATTCTTGCTCGATCACACGTGATCACGCTTCAAATGTACAATTATGTGTTCAATATGGGTTATGCAATGATCTTGGTTATTAGATGCTTATGAGTATGTTTCATGCAATTCCGTTTATAATACATAAAGTCCTACAATACTTTCATATACGCAGTAGCGGATAACAATAAAAAAAAAAAAGAAAATTAGTGACGGATGTAGGGGTACATAGAGTTACAACTGTACTCTCATTCCACCAAAAAAAAATTAATAACAAAGAGACTGCCTATAGCATACAACAAGTACGATATGTTAAACGTATAATTCTTACATCGGTCTTTATCTACTTAGGTTTATTCTATTTACTTTATTATTAATATTCCCTTCATTTTATAATAATCACAGTAAAGTATTATGTTGCACAAAGTTTTAGGGAAATTAGTTCACCTTATTTTTGCTTATTTCATATCAGATTAGAAAAATTAAGTTCACATTTGATTTTATTAGAATATATAAGTTCCAATCATATTTTGTCGTTTTATGTACGGTTCTTTATCGTAATCTTTACTTCCATTTAGGAAAAATTTACGAAAATTTCATGTTAGTAAAATACTAATTATTATGAATCTAACCCGTTTGATATATTTTTTTCCTTAAAGATAAGCGTACTTATATATAAGGTCAAAGTTTGGTCAAACATCATGTCTTATCAGATGAAATAAGATTTCATCTGATCTGATTAAATAAGATAAAATAAGCAGAAATACACATAACCTTATAGGATGGGGGTCTAAGAAGAAATTTTATAATTTGAAGTATACTTATTGGGAAACATTTCATATTTAATTTAATTCTTAGAATGACATAATAAAAAAGTGTAAAAATATAATAAGGGTGGGTGGAGTCTAATAAGTTGTGCCCAGTTAATTCCCAAAATTTTGGTATATAATCGTTTTTTCAAGTATCAATGAAGGGCTACATGCATCTTTTCATGTAATAATTGAGTGGTACATGTATAATTTTCTAAATGCAAATTGCAAACAATAATTAGACAGCTCACCAAAAGTTCTGAATATATTAATGACCACGCTTTTTTAATAAATTTTACGAAATGCTACCTGATTAACAAATATTCGAGAATATAAATATAAATCTCTAAATTGAATTGATCTAATTATATTCCCTCTTCTAATATTTGAAGTATTCAATCAATTTTGGATGAATTGTATTTGTCGTTATCAAATAAGGGAGTGTTGTAATTAATACAGAACGGATAAAAAAATAGTTTTGCTATTACGCAAACTTTTAAAAAAAAATCGAGTGTACAATAATTATTGTACATTCATTATAAAGATCTCTTAATGTGATCAAAAGATACCTTTGAAATGAATAAAAGCTAACCAAATATTTATAAAAGTAACCCAACTGAAATAAATAATCAACGCTTTATTGGTAAAGAATCACATTTCAAATGACTAAAATTAAATTATTATTGATTCAAAGTAATTTTATTACCCTTATAAAACTTTTCTTGTTATATATATATATATATATATATATATATATATATATATATATATATATATATATATATATATATATATATAAATTTAATTAAGTTCAAAATTACCCAAAATAGGGAAAAAAGTTATCCTAAATTGGTTTAAAGTTATCCTTATATTGCTCGATGTACACTAATATTAGTGTAAACCGGATGTAGATAAAAGTTTTTAAGTTATTACCTAATAGAGGAGTACAAAGTAACTTTTTCACTATATTATTATTTTCAATATTAAGCCATATCGGATCATATCACCAAATTTTTAGATTAGATCACGCCAGACCATATTTTCTTATTTCTATTTGATTATTTTCGTATATTTTAACTTCATATTTGGGCATATTTGATATAATGATAAAAATTAGATATTTGAAATTTACACAATGATATTAATCTTACAGTATTGCTTACAAAGTATGACTAAGAGTTTGTTTTCATTGACTGAAATGAGCTGAATTGAACTAAATTAGGAGCTGGACTGAACTGAACTTAACTGAACTTATTAAAGTTAAACTGAACTGAAAATAATTTGATAAAAACAGGGCCTAAATAGGAAAAGACATAATAAGTAGTTCATATATTGCAAAGTATATAATAAGTAGTCCAAGTTAATTTTTAATTTTTGTTAGTTTGTTTAATTATATGAACTATGATTGCTTATAAAACAAAATTTGATACGTTTGAATTAATAAGAATGTGGAAATAAATCGTTACCACTAACTGTAATTCGAATCAATTTTTAATTATTACTTGTTTCAGTTGGTTAGTATTAGTTGATTAGAAAGAGATAATGTATTATTGCCTAGCTATTAGCACTAGCATAGCCAATATAAGATAAGAGGGGGACACCACTTAAAAAATAATAAAATTATAATAAAAAATTATAATAAAATTATAAAAGAAATTGTGTAAAAGAAAAGAAAAAGTAAGAACATGAATCACCATATGATCTCGAATTAAGCTTATAATAAATCATAAAGAAAAAGAACAATATAACACATTTTAATCTTCATCGCTTTGTATGAGAGCGTAGGTCCTATAAGATAAAATAAGAAAATATGTAACGTACGCCCTTTTCTTGTTATATTATTTTCAGTTCATTTCAGCTCTAATATGTTCATTTCAGTTCAGTTCAGTTCAACTCTAATAATTTCAGTTCAGTTCATTTCTAATAAGTTCAGTTATGTTCAGTTCAGTTAATGATAATAGGCCCGCAGTAGAAAAGAATAGGGTGATGAGTTGGAATTTGTTTTTTTTTTTGAACGGAGTTCGAATTCTTTCATGCTAATGGTGAAACTAGCCGTGCGTTGGGGCGCGCATGGCATTTGATAATCACCAAGCTTTTAATGGCTTGCAAATTAAACTTCCAAATAATTGTGGCACTTGTCGCAACTCCGTGCATAAAGTGTACAATTGGAGTCATCAATTTTTTAAATCTTCGAGGGTAAGGATTTTCTAGAAGGCTTCGATCTAATTGCAAATGGGCTTTCGAGGATTTTTTGAGTTGGAATAAATAGGCTTTAAAAGGTTGGATGAGAAATCTGAAGTTTTGGGTTTTGGATTGGACTTTGGGTTTACATGGGTTATCTTTTGATGGTTTGGACCTTAGCAACATTATCGCTCATTTGTAGGATCATATTAGATAAGCAAAAATGCTAATTTTGTTATAATGGGGCGTTTAATGAGAAGACACTTTAAAGGTTGCGCCTACTTACATTTTTATTTTATTTTTTTATTTTTATTTTTTATAGTTAAAAATAAAGGAAAGGATTAAAAACAAAGTAAAGAAAGCTAAACAGATATTATAAAAAGTTAAGTTACAAGAAAGACCAAACAAAACAAAATACTAACACAATAAAAATGAGAATAATATATAATACAGACAACAACAAAATAAATGTCAATAATATTAGGATTCAAGTTTAAATTGTATGCCCATCTTCAATCTATTCCAAGGAGTCTCTTCCTTATTTCATGAACATATTCATAGATTTTGAGCTCATTTGGTACATACTTTTTAACACTATTCCTCTCCATGCATATCTTAGCCCATGCATTAAGTTTTGGACATTCAGCTAATATGTCCAATTTAGTGAACATCCCATAGGTGCAAATATAATTATAGTTTGGAATTAGTGCGACGTCCAAGTATCCAAAATTGTTTCCTCCAAAATAAGGCTCGTCTGCAAGCTCTTCTTCAAACAACTTGAGAAAATTTATGAAATCCTTCTTTTCATCATACTCAATTACTTCTTTTTGAGTCCATATCTTGCTAAGAAAGGTGCTAAACTGGATGTCACAAATTTGAGAGAGACTATCATTATTAGAAACAATAAAAAAATGATTGAACTCAAACTAAGTAATAATAAAATCAATTAAGCAAGTCTTTTTTTTTCTCTCAAAAATTACCAAAGTCGGTTCCGAGGTTTCTAGGGTTAATCTGTTATTTTTGGTGTTTTCCTTCATTTTCCTCTAATTTCTTTCTTTTTAAGGTTTCCTTTGCATCTGTCTTATTCATATTTGATGTTAAAGGCCCTTTCTACTACCCAATCTGTTTTTTTGGAGGTTTTAAAATTCTTTTACTCTTAGTGGGAAGTTTACTTAAAGCTCAAGGCTTTGTTCTTCAGCCCCACTTCTCAAGCTTGGTCACTTCTTTGTTCTCCTTGGTCCAACAAGTGGATTCCTTGCAAGGTCTAAAGCAAGCTTAGTGTCTCCAATAATTTTAGGGGAATTATAATTTGGTTTTACCAAATTTCAACTCCTCTTTCTTCTTTTCTCATTCTGTAAATCAAAATTTAATACTCTCAACTCCCCTGTTCTTACCCCTGCTCTTTAACTCTCCTCTTCTTTAATACCTTGTCCTTTGTTGTCACTTTTGTTATGGCGCATGTCAACCGTTGGACTGTGTACCAATCCGGGGTTTATCTAAATCAACCTTTGAAGAATTATATTTCGAATATCGATTGGAACAAATCGGTCGTTGGGTGGTTCTTTGGCCCCACTCCTCCATGTCGTGTGATTGTTCAACAGATGATCGATTCTCAATGGCTATCACGAGGTAATATTATTGTTCATCGTACTGGTTGTTACTATGTTTTTGCATGATCAAATTTGGCAGATGTAGAAGCTTTACTTGAGCAACACACTTTCGTTTTGGATGGACGTATTTACAATGTTCGTAGGTGTAATAGGTATACCGTCCCTGCCAATGTCAATTTAACATGACTAGACTGTGGATTCGGGTGTACGGGCTTCCTTTTGGGCTCCTGGACCCAGAGTGGGCTGTTGAAACCCTAAAACTTGTAGGGGTAGTTGAAACTCTTGAATATCATAGTGATGGCTTTCCTACTGAGCCAGAATTTTGGGATCAAGTTTTAGTCGATCTTTCTAAACATTTAATCCCTGGGTGTTTTGTTGCGGGTGAATTTGAGTCTATTTGGATTTATTTTCGTTAAAAAGGTGTGTTTATGTACTGTAAAAAATGTGGTTTGGTGGGTCATTTTAAAGAATTTTGTCATTGTTCGGATTATGTGGCTGCTAGAAGGATGCATTCGCGTATGGAAGCTTTCAAGGCTCAAGGGTTGACGGTGCTATATAATCCAAACAACAGGCCATTATACACCAATATGGTTGAGGGTACTCGGGATGTTTTCATAAATCGTAATACAACAATTAATCTTCTTGTCTTAGCACAAGATTTCGAGTACGATGATATTAGCTCTGGTAATGACAATGATAATGGGGACGGGGATAATGATGATGAAAATTCAGATTATAATGATGGTAATCCTGAGAATGCCGATGATAACCAGGAACCTCCTGACAATAATGATCAACATGATGAAGGTAATTCGGATTCAGAGGGAGGGAATGAACCAAAAAACTATGACTCTGATTCGTGCTGATCAAGGGGCAATAATTAACCTAATGGTCATGATAATCTACTTGAGCCGAATGGGGATAATGATGATAATGTAGCACCTGAGTTTATACCAACTAATGGGGTGCATTAGAATGGATACATGTCTCACCCTATCAATGCTGCTACAGCTTCTTTGTCGGATGCTTCGGTTTATGGCTCTGCTTCTAAACAGGGGACCGATAGTATCACATCCTCTGAGAAAGACCCTTCTACTTCGGAGTCATATCACAACCCGTACTCAATGCGGTTTATTGAAGAAAATTGTGTTGAAGCTATACGAGCTCAACAACAACCTGCTATTCAAACTAGCGATCCTTATGCTCTGTTAACTGAAATTCGGTCAGGGATTAATCTTGGAGGGGCCTTTCACATGACAACAACCTTGGAGTAGCCTTGCGTAATCACGCGGGGGTAATACACCTAAGTCTATCTCTATTGTATAATTAAACGTATTATACTAGTATTTCTATAGAGTGAGATTTGGGGGTGTTACATAGAAGTGTGCCCCACATGTGAGTAGTTCCTTGGTAGTACTCTATAAATGTTTTAGGTTGCCGGAAAACCATATGGTGGTATTAAAAATGGTTCTGAAAGAACTAGGAAGCTACGGTTTCTACTAGCACTGAAAGTATTCTGGTAGTACATTAACTAGTAAGTGAACAATGCAAGACCAATGTGGATTGGCAATACTATGAAGGGTTTTTTTTAGCAACTGTCTGAAAAGAATTATAAAGTTTTATGATGATAAATTGAAACATTTTGGTAGAACTGTCAAATTCAAAGTTGGTTTCATACGTGCCCTAGAAGTAGTATATGGCGGTAATAGAAAATTTTATGGTAAAAGTTAGGGAGGCAGTAGAGCTGGATGGGAAAGGATGGGGATACATCAAAGAGTAGACATTGAGTGAGTAACAGTCTAAAAAAATTCGTAGAATTGTAACAGTCTAATTTATGTTCCAAATTCCAGCTCAAATTATGCTTGTAATGCCCCTGATTCTCCTTCAGTACAACGCGACAGTGCTGCTCCTGCTATCAATTCGCATCCTACTAACTTTGTGCCTCCTTCCTTGTTTGAACAGATCTCTTTGCAGGAAAAAATTATGGAGAATGCGCCACCTGCTGCTCTTTTAAGCAGCTTAATGTTTAGAGTGACAGTCTTTTGCCATCAAATTTAGAGGTTCGGCCGCCTAAACGGAGTCGTTCACTCCCTTTTCATCGGTGCAGGTCTTATAATCAGGTGTCTTACTTTGGCTATTATGGCTCTACTTGGTCTAAAATACGTCGCAAAATTCATACTTTGAATTTGCAAGGCAAAGATGGCTTCACCATGCCTGTTTCTGTTCCGCATAGGGTGTCTCACCGCAACTACAACTCAGATATCTCAACAGTAGCTCACTTAGGGGTCTAAGGTTGTTCTTCTGACTTCACTTGCCAACATCCTAGTGTTAATATTCTCCTTGGGAATAAGCATAAGGCAGGATACTCTAGCGGTGCATCTTATTCTCTAAGATTGTTAAGGTTTTGAAGGATGGGCTTTCATCTCAAAATCTCATATATGGTATTAGTGCTACCTCACCGAGTATGTCTTTTGGGTTCTCGGGCACCACTAGTTTGGCGGCTGGCCTTTCACAGCTTCCTATGGTTTTATGAAGACTACATCGTGGAATTGTTGGGGACTAAATGATCAGACTACTCCTAAGCTCCCCTATGTGTTTTGGTTATTAAACTCTTTTACTCTTAACTTTTTATTTTTGTGTGAGACTAAATTTTCCATTTCAGTTGTGATTAGCTTGCTTAGTTTCTCTAATCTTACTTTGGTTTTTGGGGTTGACTCGATTGGTACTAGCGGAGGTCTAATAGCATTTGGGTTTGGCTCGGAAGAAGTTTCTTGTATTTTTTGTTTTACAAATGTTGTACTCTGTAATATAAAATCAGTAATGAAATTAGTAAATGTGTAACGTTTGTTTACGACGCTCCTGTTCTTGAAGATAGACCTCAAGTGTGGGGTTTGATCCTTGATTTACTTTCCATAGCTCCTAATTGTTTGATTATTGGTGATATTAATCACATAGAGCATCACTACGATATATTGGGTGGGTCAAATGTCATAAAAGGGTGGGATTCCTTTATTGCTTTCAGACATAAATCTAGTTTACTGGCTATGCCCTTTAAAGAACCTCCGTATACTTGGACAAATAATAGGGATGAAGATAACTCATTTTACAGCGTTTAGATCGCAACCTCTGACTGGTGTCATAGTTATCCGGATAATCGATTATTCAATCAGTCGATCCTTCTTTCTGACCATGCTGCTATTTTGTTTGATGACTCACCCGTTCAATGGCAGTCAAACCGCCCTTATCAGTTGGATAACTAGTGTGTTCACTACAATGAAATTCATGACTTCGTTTTTAATACTTGGCAGAGAAGCATTTCTTGCTCTCCTATGTTCACCCTCTTTAAGAATTTAGAACATTTTAATTATTTGATTCGAAGTGGTGTCTAAACAATAAGAAATTTTGGGGGGTGGATTGGAAAATTTTCTCTTCAGAGCTTTCTAATAAGGGTAAGTTAATTCAGTTCATTACAGATGCCTCTCTCTATATGGCTAATATTGTGACTTCAAAAGAGAATATCTTGTTGCAACTTCAATTTTGGCGACAACGTTGCAAGAAAAATTGGATTTTCAAAGGGAATTGCCCTTCTAAACTCCTGTTCTCGAAGGTTAAAAGCCGCCAGAAAAAGGATGAGATTTGTTCTTTACTTGATGATCAGAGGGTCATCCAACACGGCCACATGAATGTCCAGCGAGTCATTGTGTAATCACTAAAGAAAACCTTTAAGAGTGATGTAATGCCTCCGTATTACCCGGAAACTGATATTCCTTGTTCACAGCCTCTCAGGTCAGTAATTTGGATCATCCTTTCTCTGCTTCGGAAATTAAAAATTCCATGTTTGCCTTGGGAAACTATAAATCTCCGGGCCAAGATGGAATTAATGTTGAATTTTTCAAAATTCATAGGGATGTCGTGGGAGAGTCGGTTGTTTCAGGCGTTCAAAGTTTCTTTTAGACATGGTTCCTCTTGAAAGAATGGAACCAATCTCTCTTAGTTATGATTCTAAAGATTAATACTCCAACAGAGATGGGCCATTTACGACCAATTAGCCTTTGTAATACTATTTACAAGTGTGCTTCCAAATGCTTTGTGGACAGACTTCGCTAGTATCTTCCTCTTCTTATTTCAGATTCTCAGCATGCCTTTGTTCAAGGTCGTGTTATGCTTGATAACATCTTGTTGAACCATGAATTAATGGAAAAACATAAATTGCTCTACTTCAAGCACTAATTGGCTTGCTGCGGTTAAAATCGATATGAGCAAAGCCTATGATAGAATTCACTGGAGCTTTCTTTTGCGAATCTTAAGAGCCTATAGATTTCTTGATCGGTGGTTAGTTGGTTACAGATGAATCAACAATGTCTATCGATAGTTTCTTATAAATCCCTTGTCAATGGTACTACCTCGGCTGCTTTTAAACCACAATGTGGTCTTCGCCAAGGAGATCCTCTCTCTCTGTACCTTTTCCTTTTATGCATGAATATTTTCTCCCGTATGCTACACCTAGGGCAAGATCTGAATTTGTTTCAAGGAATAAAGTTGTCTAGAACAAGTCCGTCTATCTCACATCTATTCCTTACTGATGCTGCTCTAATATTTTTTCGGGAAACTACTCTTTTGTCTACTAATATTACGCAGATCATTTAACAATTTACTAGGATTTCAGGGGAGGAACTTAACCTTTCAAAGTCATTGATTAAGTTTAGCTCAAATGTATGTCCTCCTATCCAAGAGAGCTTCAAATCTATACCTTCCAAATGAAGCTAGTTCAAATGTTCGATCACTATTTGGGAGCTCCAATTGATTTTATCGGCAAAAAGAGGGACCACTTCCAATTTCTTATTGACAAAATTATCTAAAGAATTAATTTCTTAAACGCTATATGGCTCTCTCAATCACAAAAGTTAATTTTTATTAACTCTATCTTTGTTTCTTTGGTGTCACATGTTCTTTCTTGCTATGAGCTTCCCATCTCGGTAACAGGGAAAATTGATTCCTTACTCATGCGCTTCTTCTAGGCGCATTGTGATGCTAAGGGTATGCATTGGGTTAACAAGGATACCATGCATCCTCCTCGTGGTATGGGTGGCTTGAGAATTCGTTGCTTATCCTCCTTAAATAAGGCATTCCTAATGAAATAGGTGTGGAGGTTTGTTACGAATCCACAACTCTTAGTGTCTAAAGTCTTCGCTGCGTGCACTACCTTTCTATGTGGTAATTCTAACAACAGCTCTAGGGTATCGGGTCGACATTCGTACGACCTACGAAGGTTACTTAGGGCGAATACTCATTTACAACAGGGCCATCACTGGAAAATTGGTAATGGCCGCTCTACTCTGGGAGGCTCGGCAAAGTGGGTCAACGATCGCATTCCAGAGTTCAAGCCCCGCCACTCACGTCAGTCTACTACAAATCGTACTGCTTGATTTTTCCTCTATCCTCAGACAAATACATGGGATTCTGACAAAATTGTTGATTTATTTGTTCCTGGGGATGCTTCTACAATTTTAGCCATGGAAGTTTCGGATACGATGAATGAAGACTTCTGCTACTGGGCGCGCACCCCTTCGGGGAGATATGTGGTGAAGACTACAAGTTATGCTATGCTTCAACAACAACAACAACAACCTTCTACTTCTGTGCTTCCTGGCTCAGGCAACTTTTGGAAATTGCTATGGTCGCTCCAGTTATAACCTCAATGGAAACTATTTTATGGAAATTGCTACATTGTGCTCTCGCGGTTAAGGGCGAGCTTCATCACCGGGGTGCGCCCATTCAATGTGTGTTTTGTGATCTTTGTAGCTCAGCACCAGGATTTTCAATATCTACTTAGAATGTGCATTAGCGCACGAACAGTTTGGATGGGTGGATGCTTGGGCATCTGCTCAGAAATTAATGTAGACCTTTCTCTCTCAGGTTGGATCCAATATTATATCCGACTTTTTATTAGTCAGGATGGCCCTTCTAGTACTCGCTTTGGTACTTTCGTTTGTACCCTTTGGAGTCTTTGGTTACCCTTTGGAGTCTTTGGTTATGTCGGAACTCCAGAATCTTTAGGGATTCCACTGCAATACGACCCTTTTTGTCGCAGTTTGAGGAGGTTATTGATTCTCATAAATTTTATGTTACGCCTGAAGCTTTTGGAGGTATCTTCTCTTCGAAGGAGGATGTTGGTGGTTCTTCTCACCCTCCCGGGTTTCATATAGCTCATCTTAGTTTAATCAGCCAAGGGCTTGCTTTACGGTCATTACAGGTAGATAGCTCTTGGTTCCCAGATACTCTCCGGGCGGGGATGGGCTAGGTCTTAGATAATGATGATCCGTTGGATGATCGATTCATTGGCGGTAGTAACTTCAGGGTTTGCACGCCTGCCTTACATGCAGAGGCGATGGCTTGCATGTATGGCCTTCAACGGGCTTGAGATCATGGCTTTCATTCCATCACAGTGTTTATGGATTCCTATAATCTTGTTACCCTTCTACATGGAGATGGGCACGGAAACATTGATTATCTTTGGCTCATTCGCAAGATTAAATGACTTGGAAAATCCTTTCAGTATTGCAATGTTCATAAGGCAGAGCGTCACCGTGTTCATCGTGCTCATCAAGTCGCTGCGGAAGCTGCTGCTCATTTTATTTGCTTTAGTATTAATATGTAGTGTGTTTTATCCTTTGTAAAAAAAAAAGGATGATTGAAGATATAAATGAAACAAGTAGCTGACTAAGACATAGAATTGGACGAAATTTGATCATATAAATTTAGAATCCATCAGTTAATGTGTAACTATATTTTTGCTTTCAACCCTCTAATTAATATTATAGGATCTTTTACCAAAACGGCTAATTTGGCAAAAATATTTACCATAATGGCTAATTATGAATTTTAATTCCAAAACTAGCTAAATTATTAACTTGGAAGTAAATTAGCTATTTCTTTTACCTTAATTTGCATCGGTTTTTGTTTAGGGTTCACTTTTTTTTTTTTTTTTTTTAATTTAGTTTTTTAGTTTTATTTTAAGTTTTATTTTAGGATTTTTTTTAAGTTGGAAAATTTAACGATATACAAGTACAAATATACTTCCTCCGTTCTTTATTACTTGACCCGCTTTGACTTTTACACTATTCACCACCCCTCCTTTGGCCGTCTTTTGTGAATAATATGTAAGAAAAAATATATTCATGTATGATCTTTTTGGATTCGTCTCAATAAGTACTATAATAATATATAACTTTTATAATTTTTACTTATGGAGAATTTAAGTTATTGATCGTTAAAATTTTGTATTGGCAAGCGTGATAAAAGAAACAAGTCAAGTAAAAAAGAACAGAGGAAGTACTAAGTTTTTCGTCTAGATCGTATCATTTAAATTTGGAATTTCAAGTAGTATTGTTCTATTAACACTACCACAAATTTACACTCATATTTTCCTTTAAATTTAGCCAATTTGAAATTTAATAATTTAAATAGCTATTTTTTATAAAAATATTTAAATGACTACTTTTATAAAACTATTTACCAAAACTACTTGAAATTTAAATGGCTACTTTTATAAAACTATTTATCAAAATTATTTACCAAAACTACTTGAAATTTAAATAGTATTACATATATAACAAAATTTTAAATGAAAAATTCCCTCTAATTTGTTACTCGTTATAATAAAAAACTTTGGCTAAATATTAACTGCCTCTGTTTAGAATTGAAAACTACTATGGGGTATTATTTTGTATGTTACAAAATCATACGCAATTATTTTTTAAGAATAATATATTAGTTTCATTTCTATTAGAAATCTCTTTAAAGTTTATATTGGTTTAAAACTTTAAACAAAAGTAAAAGAAGGTGGTAGTCTGTATCTAATACGTACTCTATGTTACTCCTCATTGACTTTTCATGTACTAAGACAATATGAAACAAACCAAATGAACAATAAAAGTTGGTTAAATTTAAGTAGAAAAACGTTAAGAAATCTTCAAGGAATTATATGAAACAAACCAAATGAACAATAAAAGTTAGTTAAATTTAAGTAGAAAAACGTTAAGAAACCTTCAAGGAATTATTATGTTAATTATACTTAACTATTGATTATCTACTTATTTAATCATATGTAACGTGGCAATCAATATATACACAACGATTAGTACATGATTAAGAGATAGATTAGAAGTACCGTAATATCGAAATAATCAGCCAAAAACCGAGCTCGAGCCCTCTCATAAGGATCAGCAGGCAACAAGTTACAAGACTTGTCATTCCAAACTTCATCAATGTACTCCAAGATTACGAGTGACTCGCAAACCGGTTTTCCATCATGTATTAACACCGGAACTTGATTATGAACCGGGTTCATATCTAAAAGAAGTGAGCTTTTGGCATGCAAATTTTCATATTGGGATACATAATTTGTTATGCCTTTTTCTTGTAGTGCAATATTGACCCTCAAGGCGAATGGACTAGCCCACTGATCCAGCAGCACCAGCTCGTCCGGCATGGTTATTAGTATTTGTGGACGGTCAAAGTAATAAGGAAACGATATAATATAATCCCGTCTTCCTTTGTTACTAGAAGTTCGACTTAATTTTCAAGCAGAAGTTTAATTTTGGAGGGTTGGTCTCGATCTGATTAAATGCTTTTTGCATTGTTGTTGGATTTGCATTTTGTAGATGGCTCTATTAATTTCTAAGTCAAAAAGACAAAGAATAAATTTATGTTTAATGACATGGATAAATGCATAACTTAATTAAGAATTTCATTTGTGATGTCACTGCTTTCGTTTGATGTGTGTTGACCAAGTTTTTTGTTTTTGTTTTGTTTTTTTTCTTTATAATCTATATATATATATATATATATATATATATATATATATATATATATATATATATATATATAAAATAACAACCGCAGATGTTATTATTGTCTATCTGTCAATTTTTTATTTAATTTTTTCCCTCTAAAATGCAAAAATGATGTCATATTGTTTTTCCTTTTTAACCTAGTCTATTTAACATAGCTTTGAAAATATATTCCATTTGAATTTTTAAATTTTGAATTTTGGGTGTTCTACACATATTATGCTATTTAGTTATTTACGAGTTGTTAACAATAGTCAATAATATAATTTTATTGAAATTTCTTAATTAAATATGAATATTATGCACTCTCGGGAATTGTATATTCATATTTAGATAGAAATTAGTTAGAAAAAATGAGGAAGTTATTTTTTTCAATATGTGTTAAAAGTCTATAATTCAATTTTTATTTTAAAACCGTGCATTGCATGGGGTTAATTAAGTGGGGATATTATAATTATATCCTTTGCTTATATTTGATAGTTTACAAGAATAAATAAAATACTCGTATTACCTAATTAAATACTCCATCCATCTCAAAATAATTGATATATTTGACTTTTTTTATCAACTTTGACCATATGTTTTGCTTCCATATAAAATAAAATGTTAATAATGTTGTGACAACAAGGGAAAACATCAGGGATTGAGAGAGAATTAGTCTGTTATTCCATAGAGTAGGAGATATATAAAGATATATATAATATATTTAGGGTTTGGTTCGATAAGAATATAATCTCTAGTTCTAGATTATTCCGGAATGATATAAGGGAGGATAATGGATATCCACAAATATTTCATAACACTCCCCTTTGAATGTCTATTATTGAAGATCGTGTCTCGTTAAAACCTTAATAGAAATAAACCCCTATCGAATAAAAACATAATTAAGGAAAAAGAGTACAACATTCTTTGTAATACGCTCAAGATGCTGCCTCATTAAAAACCTTACCAAGAAAACCCAATGTGGGACAAAACCTTGGTCAAAGGAAAAAGAGTGCAACGCGTATTTTCTCCCCCTGATGAATACATAGGAAACATAACTTGAGATCTTCTGGTCCCGCATCAATGAATCCAAATTAGTTGAGTATCTTCTCATAAGGTGCAGTATAGTATCATTCCTTGATCTTCAATCATCCTAAATCTTCACATCTTTACATGAACAAGTGAGTCTTCATATCACCATAATTATGATATTATGATAATAATACATGTGTTTGTGCACATTTCATTCAAAATCTTTGTTTAAATTTTCCTTAATCATTATACTTTATGCCTTCTTCTTGAGGCAGTGAATAGTAGAAATATATTGATGATCATAATAATTATTTGATCAAACATTTCTTATTAATTATATGGAAACACATGCTATTATTAATGCTATTCTTCAATCTTGTATGAATTAAAAAATATAACACATGTAATTATATACGTTGATCCTGGTTCTTCTAGACCATAATAAAACAATCTCATGCATAACTATCCCATTGATTTTCTTTAGAATTTTCATAATTGATATGATAGTTCTCTTGCAAACACAAATAGTAATTCTCAGTAAATTTTATATAATCAATCTTCAGGTTAAGATGTCAATGATGTAGTCACAGAGACTAAAGTTTAATAATAAGTACAATATTCAGAATATAAAATTTGTAAGGGCTATGAATACGTTGCATATAAGTTCTTTGGGAACTTTTCTTAAATGATATTAAATCGATGTCATCAACAATTTCATCACAACTGTAAGCCCATTGAAATATAAATATCTCTTTGAAAGTTCACATCAATGTTGTAAATACGCCATACTATATTTTGGAGGAACATTCACACATACCACATTAATTATATAGAAATTAGTGCATGCAATATGACATATAGAAATCATGATAAGATATTGAACAAAATATACAATGAGTAATGCATCTAACAACTTCCTACACGTGTCATAAGTATCCATTAACCTATGACTCACAGTTGCACATGAATATAAGACACAAAATAATGCAAAACACTGTACAGTGTAGATTTTAAAAATCCATATTCCATTGTACTTCTAGTCCATGATAAACTTTAGTTATTATCATTATGTTGACATTAAATAGACATATATATATTTCATTTCCCTTATTCACTAGTCCATTATATCATGCATATGCATTATTTATCTGTTCCATCATATACCGATATTGTAGGCGTCGGTCGAAGTGCGCTTACGTAAAGCATGTGATGAATATTCTTAGCACTCATAGGAAGTGGGAATTGACATATACGATTAGGGACAACGATTAGGGACAAGGAAAGTAGGGAGCCGCCAACAAGTTTTTAAGGAACTTGTAAACCGTTCACGGATCATAAAAAGGCAACCTTGATAAGGGACAACGATAGGCAACAACGATTGACCCATAAAGGTTACACCCCATTCATAATCCATGAGATTACTACCTCCATATGGTTCGGAACCACGAAAGGAGGATCAAGGATGATGGTACCAAGTGAGTCATGGAGTCACATTCGCCTATATTTGCTTCTACTCGATTTGTATTGTGAAAAATGAATCCTATGATCTCAAAGGCATGCAAACAAAGATTCAACTCGCTCCAAAATATTATTAAGCTAAATCGGTTGAATATTATTGCAACACATAATTCTAAAACTTGTGATCACTTGATTAAACAACAAGATTAAAAAGGAACCTAAACCGGTTGTCCTAATTATCTTATTAGGCTGATTTTCAATTACATATTCCCTTTAACATGCAATATGGTGATCAGAATTATAATAAAATAAGCATTAATATTGGAAGCAATTTAACATAAATCCAACAACATAAAATCGTTAGAAAAATAATAGAAGTAAAAGGAACATAATTCTTACTTTGATTATGTTTGCTTGCAACTATAAAATAATAAACGAATTAGTAACTTCAAGGAAAATTAATAAAACAATAATTAAATTAAATTAAATTAGATAGAGTTGATTTGGGGTCAAACCCTTAAACAGTTCTACCTTTCACGTCTTGATTTAAGGACATAACCTCGAGTAAAGTAGGGACTCCTTGGAGTGCTTGAAGAGGGAATTTTGAAAGAAGAAGTGTAGGCTAGTGTTTAGGCTAAAGCATAGAAGAGAGAAAAATAGAGTTAATTAATGCCTCGTACATCAGAAATGAGGCGGTATTTATAGGAAAAATGAGTAGAGGGAACACAAGGAACCCTAAAAAGATAAAACCCAATAAAATAACACTGCGACACGGCAGAGCACGTCGCGACACGGTGCCGGAGATCGTCAGACGGGGGAAATTCCCGTGACACGGGGGAATATGGTGTGACGTGGGAAATAAATAGGTTATAGGAGATAAAACGCGTAAAAGGTTTACGCGGAAAGGACAGGGAGCTGCCCCATGTCACAGCACTGGCCCCGTGTCATGGCAATGCACACCGTGGCGCGGCATTGTGCCCCATGACGCGGTGCTTATTGTCGTGACGCGAGAAACTGTGCATCCATTTTTCCGTCTAAATACATTTTTGCCCTAATTTCGTTCAGCCTTTTTAAGTGTCGATTGATAATTTCGGGCCATTTCTGATTTATTATTTATTAATTGTGCCAAAATAATAAAGTAAATAAAATAAAAAAGGTTTGGGCCAAAATAATAAATAAAATAAAAAAAGTTTGGGCAAAAATTAAAAATAAACTATGCTTTGACTAAACATAAAGACTGATCCATGGACTATTGTAGGCGTCACTCGAAGTGCGCCTACGTTAAAGCATGTGTGAATATGCTTGGCACTCATAGGAAGTGGGAATTGACATATACGATTAGGGACAAGGAAAGTAGGGAGCCGCCAACAAGTTTTTACGGAACTTGTACACCGTTCACAAATCATAAAAGGCAACCACGATAAGGGACAACGAAGGCAACAACGATTGGCCTGTGAAGGTAACACCCCATTCATAATCCATGAGATTACTAACTCCATATGGTTCGGAACCACGAAAGGAGGATCGGGGATGATGGTACGAAGTGAGTCATGGAGTCACATTCGCCCGTATTGGCCTCTACTCGATTCTTATAGTGAACAAATGATTCCTACGATCTCAAAGGCATACAAACAGAGATTCAATTCACTCCAAACTATTATTAAGCTAAATTGGTTAAATATTAATGCAACACATAATTCTAAAATATTTGTGATCACTTGAATTAAGCAATAATATTAAAAAGGAACCTAAACCGGTCGTCCAAATTATCTTATTAGGCATGATTTTCAATTACATATTCCCTTTAAACATGCAATATAGTGATCATAATAACAATAGAATAAACATTAATATTAGAAGCAATTTAACAATAATAGCGTTAGTCAAATCAAATAATAATAATAACCTAATCATGATACTAGCAATAAGAAAATAAAATAAGACACTACTACAAAAAGCGTACTTTTTGGACGCTTTTGCTGCGACGCCTTTGATATGGCGTCAGTGTACGAATTTTGGTACCGCCTTTTCTCGACGCTTTATAGAGTCGAAAATTGTATCGACACATAAAAGCGTCGGGAAACTCACATGCTATGCACGCGAGTTATTTTTTTCGCAATTTTGAAACTTTTAATGAAAATATTAGCGGGTTCCCCAAATTTCCCAATTAAACCGCCCACGACTACTGCTCAATTGCGCTGCTCATCTCCTCTAAACCCACGACTCCTTCATTAGCGACAATTTTTTTGCAATTTTGTTTGCTAATCTTCAAGGAATTTGGGGGTTTTTTGCTCATCACTTTCAATAATTTCAGGTATCAACTTACAATTTGATATACAATATTGTTTCTAGGTATATATCTATCATTTTTGGTACCCTAATATCTCACAATTCTCTAAATTTCGTTAATATTGGGAATTCTTCTTTGCATTCTTCGATTTTGAGTTGGGGTAGAACAAGAATCGATCTTTTATTGTGAGGTAATTTTTTGCCCTTAATTAGATGATTTAATTTCTTTTTATGTTGTTTTTTTCGTGAATTCTAATTTCATATCCATGGTTTCCATGTTTTTTTTTTTTGTAAGTAGTTTTTTGGGTTTTTGTTATGATTTTTATGTCATTTTTTAGGGTTTTAGTTTGGAATTTTATGGGTTTTTGATATGAATTTTATAGGCTTTGAATTATATGGTTTTTGATATGAAATTTATAGGCTTTGACTTTTCTGGTCAGAGCTAAATAAATTAGCCATTACACATTAAAGTTGCAGTGCATTAATAGAACAATATGAACTTGGGAATATTGGCAGCATAATTTGTTTTTTCACCCAAAAAATTAGATCAGGTTCTTCAAAAAAGCAAGTCCACTTCATCTCGACACTTAAAAGAGCTCAAGGTGTGAAAATTCATGGCATAGCTAAAGAAGCTAAGATCGAAGCCGATTTGTGAATTTCTCTGTATATAGTCTGCTCACCCAAAAAAAACAAAAAATAAATAAATTGTTATCATCTCTAGATTGCAGCATTTTTTTGTGATTGTGAAGTTTATCTCTCCAATCTTAATCTACATGTATCCATTTATCTTAGACCTTCTGATCTTGTTGTTTTAGTTTTCCAGATTGGTGATAGTTTTGATTCTTTATTAAATTGCTCAAATGCTCACCAGACTGCTAGAATTATAGATTGGACAGAGGTGATAATTCCAGATCTTATTGTTTCTTTTTATCCACCCAAGAAAAATCTTATGTTAAAGCTTACTAACACTACCTTTTCTGTTTTCAGCCTTGTTCAGTAGCTTGAAACGCACAATTACTTTTGCGGCAAAAGAAGGTACACTCTACCTAAGACATTAGCTCAAACTAGAATACATTTTTAAAGATTGTGGCTTGATTAGTACGTGTATGTCATATACTTATTTCAATTGTGTAGACTTTATTAGATTTCCCTAATTGGATGATTCATGTGACACTATCTTTTAGTTACTTGAAAAACGTGTGCCTATTGCCTTGGAGTCATGTTTTGTAGATTTCCAGTGTGGTTTGTTGAATAAGAAATTCATCGAACTTGCATGACTTATTTTTGTTGTTGTATGTTTCTTACTAATTTTCTTCTTTCACCCCTCAACAAGTTTGTAGGCTTAAATTACTTACATTATTTTTAAGTGGATAAACTTGTTGATATTATAACTTTGATGGATGTCTATTTACTTAGTGAAAGTGATGTCCCTATTATATATTGGTTTAAGGATCCTTGTAACATGATTTTTTTTTTATTTTTTTTTAATATCATTGTTTTTAATTAGCAATTAATTATATACTTCTTTGTAGACATGGATACTAGTTGGATTGATTTACCAAGAGGTGATCCCGGTTATTTTAAAGGTTGCATGAATTTCTTGAAACTTGCTAAAGAGACTCTTTTACCAAATACACGTGAATATAAATGCCCATGTAATAAGTGCAAGTTAAATAAAACGAATTCTGTAGAAGAAGTTGGAGGCCATATTTTATTTTATGGTTTTTATAAAAACTATAGAAATTGGATATTTCATTGTAAAGATGAAGGGAGTAAGACCTATGATCTAAGTGATGATCAAGTAAATGCAGTAGGTCGAGATGATATGGACGGGTTACTAAGAGCAGCTTTTAGAGTTAATACGCGACAAACCGACAAAACTCAAGATCCATCATTTAATGAACAAAGTATTGAAGATGACAATTCATATGACATGGATGAGGGGTTTACGATTTATCGCGAGGTAGATGATGAGTATCAATCAACTTTCTCAAATGAAGAACAGGCAAAGTATAAAAATCTCATGGAAGCTTCTGAAAAAGGCCTGTACGAGGGGTGTACTACTTTTTCAAAACTTTCATTTCTATTGCATTTGTTTCACCTAAAGTGTATGTTCCATTGGTTTGCAGTCATTTAATAAATTACTTGAACTTCTAATTGACGCATTTCCCAATATTAAGGAGTTTCCATCGTCCTATTATGAAGGCATGAAGATAATAAATGATTTAGGGTTAGGATATGAGAAAATCCATGCATGTCCAAATGACTGCATGTTATATTGGGGTGAATTCGCAAATAAAAGTGAGTGTCATATATGCCATACATCAAGGTGGAAAAATGTGAAGGGAAAGGAGGGTGATGTAAATGAAAAAGGAAAAGAAGCATGTAAGAAAGGCGGGGCAACTAAAGTAATGCGGTACTTTCCCCTTATCCCTAGATTAAAGAGGCTTTACATGTCATCTAAAACTGTAGAGGACATGAGATGGCACTTTAATCGTAAGGATGATAAGATTTTACGACACCCTGCTGATGGCGAGGCCTGGAAAAAATTTGATGAAAAATATATAGAGTTTGCCGCTGATCCTCGCAGTGTTATATTAGGCCTAGCGAGTGATGGTTTTAATACATATCGTCTTATGAACACAAATTATAGTACATGGCCGGTGGTCCTCATTCCTTATAATTTACCACCATGGCTTTGCATGAAACCATCATCCTTTATTCTTTCTATAATTATTCCTGGTAAATTTGGTCCCGATATGGATATTGATGTGTACTTGCAACCACTAATCCATGAATTGAAATTATTGTGGGAAGGTGTTGATGCTTTTGATTCTTATAGTGGAAGCAACTTCAAACTGCGAGCAGCCCTACACTCTACTATTAATGACTTTCCGGCTTATGCTATGCTGTCAGGTTGGAGTACGAAAGGCTACAAAGCTTGTCCTTCTTGCACTCATTCTACTAATTCAGATAGATTTTGTGGCAAAATTATCTACCCTGGGTATCGAAAATGGTTGCCTATTGATCACCCATATCGTTCACAAGCTAATTTGTTTGATGGGAAAGAAGAATATGGTATTGCTCCGATTCGTACCAGCGGGACCGAAGTTTTAAAGCAACAAGAAGGGGTAAAGTATGTATTTGGGAAGACAAAAAAAGTTCCTAAAAAAAGAGGGAGAAAAGCTGCCAATGAACTTGATGATGATTGCGATCCCGATGGTGATGATGTTCTTTGGAAAAAGAGAAGTACATTTTTTGAATTAGAGTATTGGGAGCATATTCCTCTTAAACATAATTTAGATGTTATGCACATTGAAAAGAATGTGTCCGATATTTTATTAGGAACTCTTTTAGATATGGATAATAGTAGGGATGATGAGAGTGGCAGAGAAGCCCTAAAGAATTTGAATATAAAACCTCATCTATGGATCAACCCTCAAGGTTACATCCCGCCGGCTGCATACACCATGTGTAACAAGGAGAAAGAATGATTTTTTAAAGTCTTGAAAAAGATGAAAGTTCCTGATGGATATGGATCTAATTTGCAAAGATGTGTGAATCTAAAGCAACGGAAACTTATTAATATGAAAAGTCACGACCATCATATTCTCATGCAAGATATCCTCCCGGTTGCTTTAAGGGCGTCGAATGCCACAAGAGTTATTGACTTGCTTGAGGAGTTGTCTGACTTTTTTAAGAAGATATGTTCAACTGCTATAGATACAAGGGAATTAGATACCATTCAATCAAAGCTCGTGTTGACTCTTTGCAAGTTTGAAAAAGAATTTTTACCAACATTTTTTACAATCATGGTTCATCTACTAATTCATTTAGTGGAAGAGGTCAGACTAGGCGGACCGGTTCATTATAGATGGATGTATCATGTTGAAAGGTACTTTATTATTATTATTATTATTATTATTATTATTATGATTATTATTATTATTATGATTATTATTATTATTATTATTATTATTATTATTATTATTAATATTCTATTTATTTGTATTATTTAATTTTTAAATAATAATTTTCCTTATTCTTTCACATTCACATACAAAATCGTTACTATAATTCAAGGTACTTGGCCTTTTTGAAATCTCATGTAAGCAATAAAGCGCAACCGGAAGGATCTATAGCGGAAGGTTACCTTTTGTGGGAGAGAATTTCATTTTGTTCGAGATATTTAGAAAGTGTTGAGACTATGTTCAATAGACCTAGAAGGAATGAGGATTGTGTATCAAACATTGACAACTATTTGTATAACTCTGGTGGTCGTGTTGTTGGAAAGAAAGAAAATGTCCGTTTGGATGATAGAAGTTTAAAGCAAGCTCATCGCTATGTTTTACTTCATTTTGATGAACTAACCCCGGTGCTCAAGTAAGCAGCATTATGAGTTTAGTTAAAGCGTCCAATATATAATTGTTACTAACATAAAATTAACAATCTCGATAGTGAGTTCTTAAAATTAAAGAGGCAAGAGAATGACGTTGGAGGAAGTCAAGCTGATGAATCTATTGAAAATCAGTGGATAATTGATGAATTTGCAGATTGGTTGCAAAGCCAGGTCATATGCTTTTACATTTAGGGTCTTTTTATTTTCATATTATACAACTTTCTAATTCTAACTTTATTATTCTCGAATTATAGGTCCATAATTTAGATGATAGCACGGTAGAAGGAAAGTTAAGAAAAGCCTTAGCCGGTGGCTTGAGTAACCGCGGGAAAAGGATGAAAAGTGTTATTATCAATGGTTACAAATTTGATATTGTGGATCGTGAGCGATTTCGAATAACTCAGAATTCGGGAATCATGGTGGAAGAAGAGGGTCACGAATATTATGGAAAACTCAATGAAATTTTGGAATTAGATTATTATGGTTCTTATAAGGTTGTATTGTTTCGTTGTGATCGGGTCGATATCCGTAGGGGTATCAAAACAAATCCAAATGGAAGTGTTCATATCAATTTCTCAAAGTTGATGACACTGGTCGATTTTTGCGTGATGATTCATTTGTCTTCTCATCTCAAGCAAAACAAGTTTTTTATATTGAGGATGAGATACAAAAAGGGTGGTGTCATGTTGTGAAAACTAAGCCTAGGGACTTGTTTGATATACCTGAATAATTTGTTTACAACTTTTATAATTTATTATAGATTTGAGTTCATAAATTTGGATGAGTGTGTATTTTTATATTTCATTTAGTTATTCTAATTCATCAAAGTTTGCATTTTGTTAACTTAATTTCTGTTTTTATGGTACTAAGTAGTATTATTGTCTTGGTTTCTTATTGGTCGAATAACAACTGAATTCTAAAACTGAATTCCAAACTGAATCCAGAACTGAATTCAGAGCTGAATTCAAAAACTAAATTCAGTTCTGGAATTCATTTCTGGAATAATTCAGTTCTGGAATTCAATTATGGAATAGTTCATTTCTGGAATAATCAATAATTCATTTATGGAATAATTCATTTCTGGAATAATCAGTTCTGGAATTCATTTCTAGAATAATTCAGTTCTGAATTGCAGCTCTGAACATCAGATTTTGTCCTTTTGGTCACATTTATTTCCTGTTATTTCAACTCTGATGCATTGATTATTGTTGTTCTTATTTTGTATTTCTGTTTAGATGTTTAGTTTAGCTGTACATATATTGTCTTGTCTTTATATCAGTTTTGTCTATATATAGTGTCTTTACTTTCCACTGATATTGTGATTACATCAGTTCAGAAATGTAATTGAACTAAGTGTTGTTGCTGTTTGTAATGAACCCACTGTAATTGTGATATTGTGATTATAGTTCAGAACTATATAGTTTAGATACATAGTTTAGATCTTTATATTAGTTTATTTTGTATTTCAGTTTAGAAGTATAGTTTGTATTTCATTTTACGTCTTGTCTTTATATCAGTTTTGACAAACTAATGTAGCTTGTCTTATGGTTTTTATCAGGTAAAAGATGACTTATCGAAGCAAGAGAGCAAGGGAAATACTTGCTGCCACAGCTAAGTCAAATGCTACTGAAGTTGTTTCACAACCTACCAAAAAACAAGCTACTAAGTAACCGCAGAATGAGGTACTTAAGGATGACAAATGGGGACCTTTTTCTCCACCCATTACCACTACAACATCTGACCAACAACCACCTAATAGTTTAGGATCCATTTGGAAAAACCCTCCTGGTTCAACATCGAGTTCAGTCAAAGAGGTAGCTACATCAGGTTATCAGAATAAATACCCAGCAAAAGTCCCACCTAATATTCCACATTCAATTGCACCAGACTCATTGAACTCCCCTTCTACTTCTCACAAACCTCCCGAGCGCCCAAAACCTGCTACACGAGGAATCCGGAGCCGTGAAACAGGTGCTGTGAAAACTTCAGCTACAGCTCCACAGGATAATAATGAAAGACAAAAAAATGGAAACGAATCAGAAGAGATCCCGAAACAATCTTAGTCCTTACGACCAAAAGCACTTCCAAATTGGCCTGTAGACATTGATTTTGACAACAAGGAGGAGGTTCTAACCATAGGTAAATGTTTTCTATTAAAGTTGTCTGCTGATGCTTGTTGTTGTTGTGGTGTGATCCTGCCATGTTGCTGCTGCTTGTTATTGTGGGGGGAGGGGGTGGGGGGAGGGGGTGGAGGCTAGCTTAATTGTGTTATACGTGTTACACATGCATATGTATTTTACATATCATTGTCAAACTTGTTCTAAATTTGGATATATGGAATTGTTTATATCTTGAAACTTGTATTGAGCTGCATAATTAATTTTTCAAGTAAATTATGCTTGTTATGTTGAGGTACATGCTAATTGACATTTGAATTGAGTCTCTATGATATGTGTTCTGTGCTAATGTCATGTTTGTTTTGTTTTTATTTTTTATTTTTTTTTATTTTTCCTTATTGCATCATGAGATCACATTTTGAGACACACATATGATATGTGTAGCATGCTTTCTTTTTTGATCCAGTACATGCTAATTCTATAACTGAAATCAGAACTAAAATTCAAATCTGAATTCAGTTCTGTATTTCAGTTTTGATTTCAGCTCTGAACATCAGAAATGAATTCTAGAACTGAAATCAGAACTGAAATTCAAATCTGAATTCAGTTCTGGAATTCAGTTTTGATTTCAACTCTGAACATCAGAAATGAATTCTAGAACTGAAATCAGAACTGAAATTCAAATCTGAATTCAGTTTTGGAATTCAGTTTTGAATTCAGGTCTGAACATTAGAACTGAATTGCAGCTTGTGTGTGTGTATTTGCAAAATTCATTGGCTACAGTGTTGGGTTATTTTGTAGATTTTTTCTTAAAATAATTTTATCTGCTTCTCTGTTAGAACATATTGTTCACTTAACTGATTATTTCTTTTAACTTAATTTTGTTATTTTATTTAGATGCCAAGGGTAATACTACATTAGTAAGTGGTATTATTCTGCCAATTGACGTGTGGAGTAATAACGGCGTCCAGTACTATGTCGAGTTCAATGATTTATGCCAGCCAATTAGGAAGGGTGGACATATTTTGGTTAAATTCATTAGTATGATTGCGAAGATGGAGTCACATTGTCCAGTTGGGGAAAAAGATTGGAAAGCAATCGACAAGCATTTTAAAGGGAAAATAATTAAAGACATAAGAGTAAGTATATTCATCCCTAAGACATCCCTTGTCATTTCCTAAACACACATACTTAGATGGTCTCTTACTTCTAATAGATTACTTACTGATTTATATTTTTAACTAATTATTTTTACTGAAGGACCGTTTTGTGATTCCTCCTGGTGTGGAATATGACAACCAAGCTCTCAAGGGTGCCAATAAATGTTGGAGGCAGTTCAAATATTCTCTGAAACTGATTCATTACAAGACACTAGAGAAGAAATTGGATGATATGTGTAATAATGTGCCACATGGAATTACCAGTAGTAACTGGTTCAGTTGGTAAAATATTGGGATTTGGATTACGGCAAAGGACAATATTTACCTTATTTTTTACTCTATTAAACGTTATTTAATCTCTAACTAAAAAATCTGAAAATGTGATTGCAGACTATGTCAGCATGCGGTAAAAAAGCACGAGCTTGTCAAAATCAGATTCATACATCTGGCTCTAAAAGTTTTGCAAACCAACAAGCTGATTATGTATGGAATATATATGTCATTTTATATTTACTTAGGATATTAGTAAGAGCAAAGCCAAGTTATATGCGTTATATACTATTGTACACATATTTAATGCTTGTTTTGCCTTATTATTTATAGGAAGATGAACATGGACAAAAATGAGCTTGTTAGCGCTGTGGATTAAAACCCATGCGGGTGAAGACGGAAAATTTCTTCCTGACACAGTCACTCAAGATTTTGTTGTATGGTTTTGTGACAGATTTCTGGTATCATTTTGTGTAGATTTTGTGGTGTGATTATGTGTTATTTGTGGTCTTACATTACTCCTAAATGTTGGTATAGGATGATGTTAAAGCTAAGGTTGAAGAGTTGAGGATGGTGCACCCTAAGATGTCTGAACAAGAGCTCGAAGATGAAGCATTTCAGCAAACTATGTATGGCAATGAGATTCTCGATCGTCCGGTAGGTTACGGACTAGGGGTTAAAAAGGGGGACATTTTCGGAGTACGTGGTGTGTTAAGGAAGGAAGGCTATGGAAAAGTTCAAAAGAGGACTATTGTGATGGATAGTGTTAAAGAAGAAGTGAATGCTTTGCACAAAAAAAATGATATACTATCTCAAGAAAATGAAAAGCTGAAAGACGAGGTCGGACACAACAATCTTCTTCTTAAAGCGCTTGTTGGAAAATTTTCTCAGATTGTAGGTGCAGTTCTTCAAGGGAATGCATCTCCGGGTCTTCTAAACAAAGCATCTGAATTCTTAGGAAAGGCAAAACATCAGGTAACATTTAGAGCTTGTGTGAATGCTTGCTTGTGATGTGTGTGTGTGTGTGTGTGCCATGCTCCCCTGCTACTGCTTGTCCTGCTCCCCTGCTGCTTTTATACTACTTGTCTGCCCTGTCCCCTGCTACTTACTGTAATGCTCCCCTGCTGCTTGCTGTAAAGATTGAATTAAGTAACATTTAGAGCCACTTTTTGGAGGAAAGCCCTCAACAATTTCAGAACTGAAATCCTGAACTAAATTCAGATCAGAATTTCAGAATTGAATTCAAAACTGAATCCAGAGTTGAATTCAAGAACTGATCTCAGACCTGAATGCAGAGCTGATCTTCAGAACTGAAAATCAGTTCTGGAATTCAGTTCTGAATTGCAGCTCTGAACATCAGAACTTGTGTGTGTGTGATTATATTTCAGAGCTTGTGTGTGTGTGTGTCATCGGATTTTGTCTTTTTGATCAAATTTATTTCTTGTTATTTCAACTATGATGCATTGATGTTTGTTGTTCTTAAGTGTTGTTGCTGTTTATCATCAATTTGACTTTGAGCTTTATTATGGCTGAAGTTTGGGGATAAAAATGTCTTTGTTGTTAGAGTTTTTACCTCCCCCATTTTGAATTTGTTATGTGATTGTTGAGGTCTGATGATTTTACTTGCTCTAATTTTTACGAAAAAAAAAATACAAAATTTCTCATAAAAGATGGATGAATAAATAAGACAAGTAAAATGAAAGTGAGATGATTTCAAACAAAGCTGATGTACATATATCTATATGAAGTATGAACTGAGGTCTGATGAATTTACTTGCTCCCCTGACTAAGTGATTGTATGATTGTGACTTTTATACATATAGTCTTAACTTATTGGATAGATAGAGTATAGGGATCATTGAATATAGTGGGTGCCTTTGTTCTGTATTATATTGTGAGAATGTGAGGAACTCTAACTGATGGTGCATGCTTTGTAAATGGCTCTAACTGATGGAGCATGCTGAGAATGCTTTGTAAATGGCTTTCTGATGGAGCATTTTCAATCTGCAAGGATTTCAGCATGTATGTCAGCTCCATAACTAAATAAGTTTATGCAACCTAGCACCTAAGTGTTTGTATGATCTCACCTAAGTGTTTGTATGATTGTGCTACCATGGCACTGACCATGCAGCTTAAACTTAAGGTAGAAATAAAATAAAAATCTTTAATATTTTTAAATCTAGCAAAACAAATATGGTGCAATGTTGTTGAAAGATGCTCTTACCCGACACGTATTCCACAAATGACCATAAGGAAGATGAGATTGGTAACATTGGCTAGACTGTCCATAAGAAGACAAACAGCATAGTTAGGCAAACATGATTAATAAGAAGAGCATGTGGTAAGTGTTCTTACTTATCGAGCCTATACCTTGCTTCCAACTCTTGCTTGCCCAGTTGCCCTATTGAAATAAAAGTCTAAAAAGTTGGGTGTTTCATTATGTTGACCATACATTTTCTTCAATGGTCCATGATTGAATCTACTTACAGCAAAATTTATTTTTATGGGTTTCTTCTGTATGATTCAATGAATACAATAGCTATAGTGCTTTTGTCTATGCATTGTTTACTCTTTGTAATTTTGTGTGAGTGGGTTAGATGTCTGTGATATCTTCTTGATATTATCTTACTTGCCTTTTGGTCCCTCCTTTATGATCCAGTATATTCCTTGTTTATCCTAGGTTTTTTTGTTCATTAACAGTGAGACCTTTTGATGAAATAACAATGAGACAGTAGACAGTAGACGTCCACTAAGAACTCTTGATGAAAGACCTTTTGGCTTTTTTTGTTCATTTATATTTTCATGTTTAACTCACAATTCTATGTTTAAATACAACATGTTGAATCTTGAGCCTATATTGTGTAATGTACTAATTTATACTTTGTATTTTTTTTTTTTTGAAGATTGGAAAAGGCAATGTAGGTGCAACAAAAGAATAGGCCGGGACACTTGAGCATCAACAAGCGACTATATCGATCAATGTGGCCATCATCTATCTATTTTGGTTTTTAGTCTTATATTAGTGATGTATTTATTTAGGGACAAGCTACATACTATAATATGCGACCTTTTTTTTTTTTTTTTTTTTTAATGGTTGTACTGTGTTGATGTTTTCTTTTCTAAATTTGGTAATTAACTACGTACTCTTTTTATTGTTAATTAAATATTGTTTTTTTTTAATCTAGTTATATAGAATATTTGTTTATTTTTATTTTAATATTATTAATTTAATTTATGATAAATTTAAATAATTATAATGTATGTATGATGATAATAATTTGATAAAAGAAAAAAAAGCATAAAAAATAAATCTTGAGGCTTTTTAATGTCTACAGAATTGCACATTTTCAAATTTCAAAGACTTTCCCGCCATACCATAGGCTGACACGAATAAATGCAAGACAATAAAAAGCGTCGCTAAATTTGATTATGTGGACAGGAAAAAGCGTCGCTACAAAACTACATACATTTGGGATAATGCGCAAAATACGTAATTTTCGCGCTTTTTTGTGTCCCTGAAAAATTTTCGACTCACGGATTTGCGACATTTTTTTGCAGTGTCGAGAAATAATTTTTCGACGCTAAAAGGCCTAAAAAGCGTCCAAAAAACATGCTTTTTGTAGTAGTGCGAGTAATTAAATTAACTAAGTACTCACATTTCGCGCGTTCCTTTAAATTGCTACATCATGAATAAATTGTTAGTAACTTCAATAAAAATATAAATCAAATTTATTAAATTAAATAAGAAGTAGAGTTGATTTAGTCCAAACCCTCAGTCAATTATACCTTTCATGCCTTGGTTTAAGTATAGAACTTCGGATATTGTATGGACTCCTTGGAGTGCTTAAGGGAAGAATGGTGTAATTAGGAATATAGGTTTAAGGCTTAGAATATGAGAGAGAGAGAAAAGAATTTTAGTGTAAAAGAAAGGAAGAGAGAAGGATTTGATGATCAAGCTTGTTCATGATTCATGGAAAAGGGGAGATATGACCTCTATTTATAGAGAAAAAAGAAGGTCGAAGAATCAAGAAAAGATAAGAATTCGAATCGGATTAAACTCTTGCGATAGGCAGCGGTTTTTGTTTTTATCATATCTTTTGATCCAGAAATCAGAATAAGATGAATAAGATATCTTTGGAAATATATTGAAGTTTAATTGCTAACCAAATGGGAATCAGATTAAAATATTTTGTAGAAGTAAATATATGGCCGAAATAGTGAGACGGTGTAAGTTTTGGATAGAGTTTGACATTTTATTCATATCTTTTCCGTAATAGCTCGGAATTGATATTATAATCTATCATTGGAAAGATAATTTCAAGGGCTATCCAATCATATAAAATTTGGATAAAAACTATGAATAACGAAAATAATATCTGTCTATTTTCGAACGTCTTTCAATTCGGATATAAATAGGATTTAAAAAAAAAGAGTTTTATTCAATTTCAAACTATTTAATCTTATCTTTTCAAAAAGGATAATTAAGATATTTTAGAAACTTATAGAAGCTTCCAATTGTTTTAGGAATGGGATTAAATAATTTGGACCCTCCACAAGATCATTGGGTCGTAGGTAAGGTGGGCTTAGGTTCGGTTTGGGCTCGGTTTAATATTTTGGCCATAACTTATTCGTTATAACTCGTATTTGGGCTTATAATATATCGTTGGAAAGCTCTTTTCAAGCTCCATCTAAATATTCAATCATTAGACCCAGATTATGGACCAAAATAAACTGGATCAAACGTTTTTATAAAAAGGACACGAATTGAATGATTTTGAAGGACACGAAATGAATTATTTTGGTTTTAAAGGCACGAAAAGAGGAAAATAAGTTATGTTTTGGGGAAATGGGCTAGGAATTGGTTTGGTTTATGAAATGAAAATATGGATTTATGCACTCCAAAAATTATATACTCAACCCGACCAATAATGGCGGTGAAAGGTTGTTCATCATTGGGTTTGGTTTTGGGAAGACAATTTTAGCTATCTACAGAAGCCCCCACTTTGACTAGGTTTGTAGAAACGTCAGGTTCGAAAACGATAGTCAAAGTAGTCGATAGGGATGGAGAATGATTTAAGACGTTCTACGATCCTAAATCACTCTGTATACGCCGATACCTGCAGAAAAATGTTAGTTCTACAGATAAAAGAGTAAAGGGATAGAACGCTTATCTGACACTAGTGTATCGGTGACAAATGAATTTGGTATTTTCCTATGTTTGAAGGAATCCACCGGATGACGTTTGTTGAAATGCTTTCCATGCTTGAGGAAAGCTGACAGATGAGTTTGGTAGCTTTCTAAGCCTGAAGAAACCTACCGGATGACACTTTCCATTCTTGAGGAAAGTCGACTTATGATTTTGGCATTTTTCTATGCTTGAAGAAATGCACCGATAATGCTTTCCATGTTTGAGGAAAACCGACAAAGGAATTTGGCTGTTTTCTATGCTTGAAGAAATCCACCGATAATGCTTTCCATGCATGAGGAAAGCCGACAAATAAATTTGGCGTTTTTCTATGCTTGAAGAAATCCACCGGATAATACTTTCCATGCTTGAGGAAAGTCGACAGATGATGAGATTACAAGTCTCTTTGTATCGAGAACCTTGCGTCATGAAATGATGGTGGTTCGATTGTCCCCGAACATGGGTTGTAGATGGTCCGCTTGTCCCCGTACGTGGGCTGTAGTTGGTTCGCTTATCCCCGAACGTGGGCTGTAAATGGTTCTCTTGTCCCCGAACGTGGGCTGTAGATGGTCCGCTTGTCCTCGGACGTGTGCTGTAGATGGTCTGCTTGTCCCCGGACGTGGGCTGTAGATGGTTCGATTTTCCTCGAACGTGGGCTTTAGATAGACCTGCAAAAATAAAATTGTCAATGGACTCGTATATATTGTGATTGACTTAACCACTGACTTGACCAAGTTTGACTTGATGTGACATGACATGTGTATGACTTGTGTGTGTGTGTGTGTGTGTGTGTAGGTGTGTGTAGACACAAGCAAACGAAGATGCAAAAGCAAAAATTTTCCGTCAATTTTTGTCATGAGTGGAGGGTACCGTCTTTCTCTCGAAAAAGAAAGATGTGAAAACTGAACTTTTATTTTCGAACTTCCCTCGATGAGAAAATTATGAAAAAGTTTTTTTAAACTTCCTCAAAAGAAAAGACGCGAAAAAAGGAAAGAAGTTCTGAACTTCCTCGTTGAGGAAGACAAAATGAATCGCATGGATTTTCTTCTTGTCATATTGAACTGCCCGTCTTGAGTATAATGTATGCATGATGTATGTTCTTAGGCAAGGAGGCTAAGGACAATTACGTCAAGTGACACGATAGATGAATGAACTTAAGTCATGGAGCTAAGCATCACATATGGTGTAAAGAAACGATCTTGAACGTTACATAGGTTTGGAAGCTAAGCACGTATATAGATGAAGTGATCGATGAGTATCGCATAATGAATGTCACATAGGTCAAGGAGCTAAGCACAATATGCGATGTATGAAACAATGAACATTGCTTAGGCCTAAAAGCTAGGCAAGTATATAATGTCTCTTTTGATGTTGTCTTAAAAGATGAAGAAACATGCGCATCGTTGAAGTAAGATTTCATGATAGAAGGTTCCTAGAAGGAAAGGTGATATGGATATGTATGTGTGAGTGAAGTATGTGAATGTGATACTAAGGATGGCTGCAAGGGTTATGGTGATGGAAATAGATGTGAGAAGAGCCAAAGATGATGACTCTTTAGGCTGGGTAGGCTAAATGATGTGGGTTCAAGCCCCCAAGTCTAGCTCTAAATGGGTAGGGGTAAGCATTGGATATTATTTGACTCGATTATGCATGGATATGAATATGAATGTGGATATGAATGTGAATGTGACCGCACCTCGATGTGAGGTTGCCTACGTATCCGTTAGGAATCAAGCCAACGTAGCTCTAACCAAACTTTGCACAAGTGTGTGCATACCTCAAAGAGGTCTTTCAAGGGTTGTAATGTTATTAAGCTGAAGGTTGAAGGAAGAAAGGGGTAAAACGCTCAAGACCCGAGAGAAGCCCCCAAGAGATGCAATTATGTATTAGACTTTGCAAGTTTTATTTTTCATATATTTTTTTTTTGTTTTGAATTCTTTTTTTTTTCTTTTTTCAATTCTTATGAATCAATGTAGGCAATCCCAGATCATGCGGTCCATCACTCACTTAGCATTCATATTTCTCAGGCACGATACCAAGCACTCGATGAGAGACACATGTTCATATCAAAGACATTGGAACACTTGCCTTTAGACATTGTTTTTTTTATTTATTTAGTTATTCTTTTCCCTTTTTTTAATTTGAACTTGCTTTCTGACTGTAACACAAATTGCTCACCTTCCCATCCTAGGGTTAAGTGAATGTGGGTTGAATAAATAAACTCAATTGTAAGACGAGGCTCAAAGTGGTTGACGAAGAAATGAATATGTTATTGAGCTGTTAATAGGGAATGACAGGGTTGCAAAGGTGCCTCAAGTCATTGGTGTACCTTGTGTTTAGTTCGGTAATTGATTTTTTTTTGCGAATGAATTCGATGATCGATTGAAAAGGAAAGGAATGCTCATTGATGGAAAAGGTAAGAAATATGACACATAGACAGTACACATGGATAACGAGAACCTATGCTAGAATTATTAGGGGAGAAGGTTGAAACAAAAGAAGAAAAAAAAAGCATGAAATCTTGTATGGAAACTTGTCTTGTACTTCGTCTTCATGGTTGCTTATGAATTACTTGTTACCGCTAGGGGGGACAAGAAATTTGTTGTTGTTGATGCTTTGATTAGAAGAAAAGAAGGAAGGAATGACGTTCCCCTTATTCTTCCAACTATTGCCTAGTGATTTTAGACTCAAGTACTGTATAAGGATGATTTCCCTTAATGCATTGACTCAATACTCGGATTGGAAAGGAAGAGTGTATGAAAGAATTTTGAAAACCAATAGGGAATATTCCACCCATTCCTATTACGACGGAAAACGACACATGCATGGTTCTAGTATACGATCATAAACAATATAGTGCATTACTCGAAGACAAAGTGTGTGCAACGACTCAACATGTGTGATTAGGTGAGTTTATTAAGACTCCTGATATGATCGCATAGCTAGGCATGAGGAC